ACATGCCGAGCTTACTGCCTTCCTCGTCAAACGATGATATAGAATTAGGTCGGTGGCTAAACCCAAACTTGGCATCAATCCATACAGTTTGTGACAGTTGGTTTGAGTATGACTTAGGAAGATGCAAGCTGTCTGGTTGAAGTCGTCGGGATTCAGACTATTGATATATGGCTTAAAATCGTTTGTAGTATCACAGATGTAGTCACTTGTAGGGATCTGTGAAATCCACTGAGTCCTCATGTTTTTCCATGTAAATATTCTCTCCTCCATACATTTCTGCCAGTTTTTTTTCCTTCACGTTCTCCAGTGGAACATAGGGCTTCAAGCTAGTGGCTTGAAGTTTCTGTAGCAGTGCTTTTTTGTTTTTACAGGATGGGGTCGCTAACCTCATGCCCAACCTTTCCTCTTTACCAGCATTATTTCTGGCTTAGCGAGATAAGGGAGGAGTGCGTCGGTGGCCGGGGATCGAATCCCGGACCATGTGCATGGTCGGCAAGCGTCGTAACCGCTGTGCCATCGACGCACTGTGGTAGTTTAAAAAAGGAATTTTTTTAATTCCCTCCTTCTCTACGTTTCTGTGCTGCATGGAGTGTGACAACTTGAATGGTGGCATCTGTATGCAAAGTTCTATGTTGAAACTCATTCATTCAGTCACTTTTAACGCATGAAATTATACATTTGTCATCTAAAGTAGTTATTTCATTAACATATTGACTATTTAACAAATAAGTTTTTCATGATGTGAACAGTTGACTTCAGATTAAGTAAGAAGAGTGTCAAACGGTTATATAAGGCCAAATTTTATTGGAACAAACATTTTTCAATGTTCTAATGATGTGTATGTGTGTGAACTATTGACCTTGTCCTCTTAGTAGAATGTTGCAAATGTTACCATTACTCTATGGTTTTAACTAGTTGTTTTTTTATGTATGTTGTAGGGTGCATAGTCTTTCCTAACTTTTAGCATTTAACCTCACGTTGACGATTCAGAGTGGATCACACTTGACCAGTGGAACCGGTTAGTATTATAAAATCCTACAAAATGGAGTTCACACACATTGATACACTTGTCATAAGTGCATAACTTTCATTAATAGTTTCTGAAATCATATTTCTCAACCCCTGTGGTTGCGCAGTACCCTACTTTGACTACGCTCAGAACAATGTTAGAAGTTGATTTCGTTAAACTTCTAAGAAAAATAACCCAGAAGTTATTATCCTAAAGAATTGACATATATTGAAAATAAGAACAACACAGGTGTAACACAGTACACTCCCTCTTATTTAATGGTTGGATTTGTATGGCTCAATTTCAAAGACACTGCCAGTGTGGTATATAAAATACTTAGTCAGAAATTATTCTGCCTTCAAATTGCTTATTTAATTGTAACTAGCATTAGAATTAAGGATGCGGGTTTCGTCCTATTTTAGGTGTCGTCAATTGTATATACCTTCTCGCCAGTGAAACTTGGACTAGGTGTTTAACCACCTATGCTTTTAACACTAAAGTGTTATCCACTAGGCCATTGGACAATTAACCTTAGGTTATTGAAACTGGTCAAAAATATCATCAGGAAGCGAGAAGCATATGATGGAATAAGCTACTTGGTGGATAGTAACTACCAGTAGAATCCAGGATGCCTGTTTGGACCCCATCAGCTGGATATACCTGAAATCCTCAGTGGGTAATGCTTTTCCCACCAGGAGTTGAACCTAATGGCCATCGTTTTAAATGTTGAAACGTTTATCTACTAACTACCCCACATAGGTCATGTGAGTCACCAGTTGTGCAACGGGTATAAGTTAATCATGCGAACTGAATTACCACCAGAAGCTGAACCTCTCAGTTCAAACAATTAATGCAAATAACAAAATTGACTTGAATCCTGTCTATTGGTTTGAAGATGAGTGTTTCTCACTTTGTTCATATAACCACTGACTCAACTGTTTTTCCATTTCTCTACTCTCATCAATCGATTACTATCAAGTTGACTGTTAACTTTAGCTATCATAGAGATTCATTTTGTGTGTTGCTTGAATAAAGCTGAATCTCTTAGCACGTTGCCCCGCCGTTGTTGCTGGTCTTTGTTACTATTTGGGCATAGGATGTGATATTTTTGTTGTTATGTTGTAATTCTATCTTATCTGACCGAACTTCTTCCTGATTTATTCATTATCCCCTTCATCATCATCATCATTCTCCTTCATATTTTCATTTGCTCGTTTCTACTGTGCAATTATCACGATTGACTGGGAATCTTCTTTCTATGTATCCATCTCGTAGTAGTAGTAGTAGTATTAGTAGTAATATAATAATCAAGGTTCTCTTAATATAGTTAGTGTGTTGTTGTTTTGGTTATCTCCTCCTTTATCTTCTCTCTCTCCCCCTCCTACTTCTCTTTTCTGCTTTTTTTCTCCACTCTCTTTCTACCTTTTTTTTCATATTCTCTATATATATACATACGCATACATTTCACTGTATAGTGGTAGCAATGTTTCTGTGTTAATGTTCATATTCAGAGAGCTAACAATTGTGTTTGGGTGTGGTCGTTAGTTTGTTAGTTAGTTGTGTTCATCCACCCTCTGTCCCCATCCCATCCCGCTCCAAACCCCACCCTCCCCAGTTCTGTTTCACACGCATCTTATTTCCGATACAGCTTGATGTTGTCTACCTCCACTCCTTTTTCCAACATCTAACAGCCTATTCTTTCTACTTATACTACTATTCTGTGACTACTAGGTTTCCTGTAGGATGTAGGATGGTTGATGTGTGTGTATGTGAAGGTGGGAGGGAGGGAGGAAAACTGACGCTGTTTTTTTATTTTGTCATGGACAAGGATGAGGGGAGGGAAGAATGAGACATTATATGTTTATTAGGGCAGGGTGGGTTGGTAGGCCACTTGTCCGCGTGCCGTCTCGGCTCTATTCATCAACCAGGTTTTTATGGGCATGGTGGTGGTGGTAGGGTTGATGATGAAATTGATGTGTGATAGAAGCGGCTAGGGTGGGGTGGATACTCTAGACAGACCACAGATAAAAATTACTACTCCTTTTCTCTGTCTCTTTATGAGCCTCCGAATAGAAGTAAGGAGGCTCATTTAGAGCTTATCTTTGTTATGATGGCTAAAGAAGTTTACACCGGTATAATGTGAATGTGGATTTTTTTGTGTCTTATATTTTTTATTTATCTAGAAGTGGAAGTTAGTATTTTTTATTTTTTGTTGTTGTGATTATTTATTTGGTATGATGATAAAATAACAAGTAAAAAAGGAGAATGTGAAAACAATGATGAGGATAGCCAAGTTTGAAGAGCAGCAGTGGTCCATTTATATTTAGCCTCCTGATTCTCCTGATGTGTAAATTATAAATGTGAATGTGTTGTACAGAAACTGACGATCACAGCTCAACACTTTTGGTCTTTTAAGCATTCAGTGTATTTATTAAGTAGTGTAGCCGTCCGTAGCTTTGATCAAAGTTTAACTCATATTTCAGCAATGGTTAATTTTATTTTTTTGAAAAAATTCGATAAACTATGTACCCACTGAATATGTCTCTTCAGATGAAATGTTCATTCATCATATTGTTCAACTGCACTAGTGAATTGAACTGGATTTTCAACTTAGGACTTTGTACAAAAAGGATTCCGTTCAAGTTACCACGCTTTCTGATGAAATCGAAATAGACCGGATAAATAAGAATGAGAATTTTTATAGATTTTGCTGGTTGCAAAAAGTGAATGTGTTGGTGCTACTTAGAATAATTTTAAATCTCCAGCCCACTGATTAACTTTTAGCTTCTCGAGCACCTCAACCAGACAATCCACATACTGTATACTAACTAAATGCCCGGACATCGTCGAAGCATCTGCACAAGAAGCCGACATGTTAACCTGAGACCGAGCACTTCGGTCCAATCAATCGACGGGAAAATCAAAACTTCAATTCAATAATCAAAACTTCAGTTCAATCCACATACCTCCCTACTTGTCTGACTCAAACTAACGTTTACATACTTCATGGATTTCTGCGATGTTTTGATTCGGCCACTCCTAAGTCTTCTACAACCTAGCCCTATGTCAATTAACTCTGCCTGTCAAGGAAGGTTGTGTCTTGACATGTGTTGTAACACGTACCTGAGTCATCCAAGTTGATGCACCTCTGATCCCTCATCTCTCTCTTCCTTACGTAACACGCTACGTCTAACGTGAGCATTACTTACCAATATCATACCGCTTAAAAAGGGAGACAGGATGCCAACAACTAGTAGCATTTCAAGCATTAGTTGTTTATCCATTGATGAAGTCATCTCCTGAATCTGAGAATTCATCATCATAGTACCCTTGTAAAAGTTTATTCTCAATGTCTGTACTACTTTATTATCCATACTATTGATTAGTTTATAAATAATTACCAATTTTCAATGATAGACGAAGAGAATTCATTATGGGACCGGTTTAGTGACATGATGTGAATATATATTTCGCATGTTTCTTTTGTATATGTTGAAAATCTGGTGAAACACTGTCAAGTTAACTATGCAAAATATCATGCTAGACAGTTGAAGGCAATCGACAGGAAGCCTTGGACCTAGATTTCATTCTTCTTAGTTGCCAACCAAAAGTCAGCAAGACTTATCTTCAATCTTAAAGGAACTTATGCATCCCGTTTGAGACTTAAACCTGTGTTATCCGATAATTCAGTCATCCAGAGATGTTACCACTCACCTGTTTGAGGACATGAGTCCCTTCAAGGTTAGGGATACTCCTTGCTGATTGGTGAATGCCGACGAGCACGAAACATAAGTCCAAGGCTTTCTGCCGATTACTTCCGTATACCATCGCTGTGCTGTGGTGCAAATGTAACTGGCGGTACTCAGTTTGCACTAAACCAAGGACTCGACTATTTAGTGAGCAATCACAACTAGAAGATTTATCTTCTTTTATCTTTTTTACTTTATTTTTCTTGGAATTCATCTTTTCACTTTTATTTATGATTTTACAGAGGACAGCAGCAGCTGCTGCTATGGCTGCAGCAATGGCAGCTGCCGCTGCTGCATCACAAGGTGGTCCACCTGGAGCTTTTGGTCTTCCATTAAATTTTGCCTCTGGTGGTGGTAGTGGTGGCGGAAGCCTACCTGGTGCCTCACCAATGGATGCACATAATCTAATGGCTACAATGGCTAGTTTTGCTGCTCAGTCAGCTGCAGCAGCCGCCGCTGCAGGTATGAATTCTGATATGCAACAAGATGGACCACCACCTGGACTCTTTGGTGGCGTTGGCGGCAGCGGCGGTGTACATCATCCAGATTTACCTGGATTAGGTGCAAATCATAATTTGTTACCCCCGCCACCGCCTCCATCCTCTGCCTCCGCCATGTTATCGTCATCATCATTTGCCAATTCAGGATCTGTACTACCACCATCGAAAAGTTCCACACCTGTACCCGGTATGAATTCATGTCCAAGTCGTCAACGGGCTAATTCACGATCTCCAGGATTAATTGATATACACTCTACTGCGCCGGATGAGAAACGTCGTAAAACTGAACGCGTAAGTCTACATTATTTATAGATATAGTTTATTGTTTTGCGAATATTAGTAATCATGATGTATTTATTCATGTTGGCATAAATTTTTGATGTTTAGGCATAATTTTCCCTTCATACTTGAAGTATAATTCAAGATTTGAAACAACAGCGCATAATTAACATCAATTATTTGTGTCCCAAAATGTTACCCACTGGCACATTCTACACACACATATCCTTGAAATATCATATGATCTTAGATATACCATTGTTCATGGACTTAGTTGTGTCCCATATGTTGCCCTTCTCCACTATTTGATATTGTTGGGGTGTTGACGTACTTCTTTTTGTTCCTTAAAATGTCTTAAAAGAAATGATGTTCGCTGTTACACGAGCTGTTTGCAAAGATGGTGTTTCTTTTTATAGAGCATATCTCTGTCCCTTTAAAATTAAAAAAATTGTTTGTGTTGGCAATTAAACCAAAATATATGCGATCTAATGTAAGTGGAATGTTTATTCAGAACAGTTAGAAAACTGAGTGTAGAGGTGACCAAGACTGATTAGTTTCAGCATAGGAATTTGCACAGATGTGCGCCAGTTCGAGTTGTCACTCTCACTGCATGTCCCACAGAAAGCAAGACAGATTCATCAAAAGAGAGATAATAGACAGAAATGTCAGGCAAAAAGAATAGTTATATGGAGGGACAATAGAGTGATTGCATCTGCGGCAGCCATTGACAACGATTGTCAGCCATATCACCAATTATCTCTAGCCTTGATTGGTTCTTACCATCCCGAGGACCCCAATCAGTCAGTCTACACCTCCCTACGTGACTGGCTAGCTTAAACTAACTGTTATGGATTTCATTGAGTGATGAAGCCATTTTTTCGTTTGACAACCACCACCAACTCTCTCTTTTCCAATCTCATCAATCTTATGTCAGTCAGCTGACATTGTCTGTGGAGGGAGACGACGGCTAGTGATGCATGTATAACACATGTCCTAACTATCTCAATCGATAAGTTCACAAACTCGCTGGTTGATTTCCTCTCCTTACCTAGCCTACCACTCGAAGACTAACCTCAACATTATTCACCCAATTACACATAACACGGGAGAGGTGACCTTACGTTAGAATAATAGTTTTTATTCGTGTCTTTGTATTTTCTTGGCTAGACGGTTTACTTGTCAAGCTTTCATTGGCTGTTTAGATACTATCTTCAGCGAAGACATCAGTATGAGTGTATATGAGGTTTGCATTCCTAGTCATTAGACGCAGATTTGGAGCATAGTGTGCATATATATATATTGATTGGAAGATTTCCATTTCTTTTCCAGCCTACTTCAGGAGATAAATGCAGTGGAGTTGGTAATAACACATTAGAAGAAAATGGATTGGTAAGTACACTGTCTTTCTCTTTTGTATCATACACATGTTTGATATGAATAGTTAGTTTGGCAGAGAGCATGAAAACAGTTAGATGAATTTTGACTAAGCCTAGTTGCCATAAAAAGCCCACTCACTCCAAGCCTATGGCTTGAGTTAGGATCCGCATGGCAGTGGAGCCAACGTCAAGAAACTACGTTCCTATGGTGATCAAGGCAGGTTCATATGCCAATCAGTTTTTTTCGGATTATGGTGAAGCCCATGCACACCATAGGCTTTGAAATCAGGGTTTCACCGACTCCTGCATATCCACCAATCTCTTTTTGTAAGCTTCAGATGTTCTCATTTACCCTTGCGCTTTTGTGAGGAATACCATTGCTGTAGCATGAAGGCGGTTAGTGTAGGACTTATTTGGTAGAGGCTGTAAACATGAGAGGAAGACCAAAGTCTATCCACCCTTTAGTCGTAACAGGTCGTTTATGGGGGAACAGTCTATCTGTAGTACTTTAACAAATGTTCGGCAAGAAGACGGATAGAGAGAGAAGGAGCGAGTTTAGTTTCACACAAAATCAGGTTATTGTATTCAAGTCATGTCTATAATTCATTCATCTCAGATCAACTGCTTGATTTGATCGCCTAATCAGTTTTTTTGCTCCTGAACTTATTATCATGATGTCCAACTCCCCCTTCACCCTGACAATATTAATAACAAGTGACTTTTTCGTCTCTTATATATTTACTAACCATAGAACTAATCAATTATGAAAGTGTTAGTCAGTTAGTTGATGCTCTAATTAACATCGAAAGAGAATAAAGTTTACAGTTGAAATCAACACAGTTCTTTTATCGCCATCAAAAAATGTTGATGTACTTACTATGTTGTAGGCATGGATATACTTCTTTATCTTTTATTTATCTCATTTCATAATGTTTTTTTGTTGTTGTAAAGTGTAATTAAATCAATCGATATGTGTGTGTGTGTTTGTGTACAAAACCCCAAAAGGGTTTCATTTGTTGATATGGTCTTTTGTATCTTGTGGTTAGTTTTCTTTTTGTGGTAAATGGCCGTAGATATATATTATTATAAGTGGAGGTACGTGTGGCTCCTGGAATATAAACCCTCGACTTTTAGCTAATAGGTCTAGGTTGAGGTCGCCATCCATCTACTTCACTCTACACATGACCGACAGCACATTAAGTGCAGTTCATACATAGCCTAGGATATGTAAAAAATATTGATCCTGGTAACTAAATTTTAGGATTTACTGGCGTAGCGATAGGGTACTCACCAACCATGTCAAAGAGCCGTGGTTCGATCCCCGGATTACGCACTCCTAAACCTTGCTGAGCAATTAGTACAATCCTGGTAAAGAGAGAAGGTTGGGTGTGAGGTTAACGACTTCACCCCTTTTAAAATGACAACACCTCTACGTGCCTGCCTTGTAATTTGAAGATTCTGGATTCCATCCCCAATGTATGGGTGTTATGGTGTGTGTACTTGTGAAGAGTCCAGAAGTAGGCCGAAACAGTTGTCCACTACTCCCTGTTAGTTTTCAACGGTTCTCTAACTACTGAATGGGTGGTTTCCTAATCCAATGAAAAATGAGTGATGAGTAACTTTGAATGATAGTGGTCTTCGAGTTGTATAGGTGATGCTTTTTCTGTGTAATAAAATAAGTGATGGGATAATACTGTGGCTATTATTCGACTACACACTCATTCAACTTTCAACCGCTTGGAATCATCCCATAATTAGATGGTTCAACCTACCTAAAACCGGTAATGTGACCGACTGACTACGAAGTGTAGTGTTTAAATAATTGTGAATGAGAATGCATATTCGGCTAATGAAATCAAATTTTCAAGATTTGAAGTTTTTAGTTTCATTAAGCCAGTTTCTTTTACAAGCCTAAATTCTTTGTTGACAATCAAATGCCTTTGATCTTTGTCATTTGTTATATACTTGATGGAAGAATGATGTAAATCTGTTTTGTGTTTTTGTCGAATTCATAGAACTTTTTTAAATAGAGACATTAAAGGACTAATTTTAAACTTCATAAGGTTATTCGGTGCAGATGTTATTCATACTCTTAGTTCAGTACTATCAATAAATCATTCGTGTTGATTTGCTGGGATTTAATCGGTTACAAGTTTCATCAAATCCTGGAAAGCCAACACTCAATAAATAATCTGGTGCACATTGGCAATTGGCTGTATGCGACAGGAAGTTACCTAGTGAGTTCTGGTGAGAAGTCGTAACTAGCGGGATCCATTAGATTAGAAAGGGGAACAGTTTGTCGCCTATGATACTATCTGGCGGTCTCGCTTGTATACGACAGAAGTTGAATTTCATGGACCACTGGGTGGGGGGTCCCAGTGGCTGAATAGTCAACAAGTCTGTCTCGTAATCTGAATGTCCTGTGGGTGCGTACTGATGAAGAGTCGCAAACTGGGACGAAAAAGGTGTCCAGGTGTACTCCCAGGTTTTCCAATAGTTATTTAACTGATTTCAACTTGTAATCAAACCTGTAATAATAAGTTGTTGTTTTCTTTGAATTAACTTTTGTTTATATATACACATAGGTTCGAATTAAGAGTTCACCTTCCTCTGGTCGTCGTACTCCATCAACAAAACATAATGGTTCAAGTGGTCTATTAAATCCTAATAATTTAAAGAATCATTCTGTTACTGGGAATGGTGTAACTAGTTCACATTCTGATAATAATAATAATAATAACAGCAACAACAATAATAATAATAATAATACTAACTCACAAAAAGATACATCATTTGAATTAGATCATAAAGAATCAGATGACAATCCACCATTTTTAAGTGCTGCCGGTGCTACTGCTGTTACAAACGGCGGCAGTGGTGTCTGTAATTCTTCATCAAGTCGTACTGGTTCACCAAATCAACAACTCTTACATAATTCATCATCTTCTGAAGCAAGTGGAACGCTTCACAGACAGCAACATGGTACACCTAATATAAAACCATGTTTGTCTCCTGTACCTGTTTCAAGTAATGCATCAAATTCTTGTAGTAGAATAGGTTCAATTCCTCTAGGAGGCGGAGCAGGAGGAAGTGTTGGAGGTAAGTCAACACTCTGTATAGTGTCTATGCCTTATACTCTTTATTCGTTATGGTATTTTTTCCTTCATGTTGTCCAGTGGAACATAGGGCTTCAAGCTAGTGGCTTGAAGTTTCTGTAGCAGTGGTTTTTTTTACAGGATGTGGTTGCTAGCCTCATGTCCAACCTTTCCTCTTTACCAGCATTATTTCTGGCTGGCGTTGGCGGCCGGGGATCGAACCCCGGATCATGTGCTTGGTCGGCGAGCGCCCTAACCGCTATGTGCCACCGACGCACTAAGATGAAAGATGAACCACATATAAACGTCCTGCGTTCAACTTGTTCACATTCCTAAAATATAATGTTGTTAATGGTGTGATCACTTCACCTCTATGTTGTATCTTTCTTCTTCATATATATATATAAATATAGAGGCGAGATAGTTTCAACTGTGTCGTTAATATATTTATTAAATTGGAAAACAAGCTCTCTGTCTTCTCTATTATTATATTGAGAATTATAACAACAACGACTATGTGTGTTTCATAGCCAATCTGTGTCCACCTCTTGTTTGTTTCTTTGTTTTTCTACTTCTGTCTACTCCCAAAGTAACCAGCCAACCAACCAACCTCCCACCTCTGTACCACACGATGCACAACACATGAATTTATGGTATATATATCTTATTTGTGCATTTATGTGTTAACTCATGCATACGCAGTCATATATAGATATATTATCTAGTTTTGCCAATGTGTAGGTTAGTATGCCTAGTGCATACATGCGTATTATATATATATATATATATATATAATATACACCTCTAAACACATTCTTTATAATTGCTTGCTAAGCCTTTTTCCTCCTTTTTAGTGTCTCCATCATTTTGCACACACACACATACACTCAGACACTTAGGGACAATAATAATAAAAATATTCTATATTTTCTTTTTCTGTTCATTCATTCATCCTCCCCCCTACCTCCTCTCTTGTTAATATGCCATTTGGACTGATATGATATAAAAGATAGATGGCGTGTTTGGCATAAATTTGCCTTTATTCCTTTCCCTCTCCCTCTCTCTCTCTACCCCTGCCTGCCTCCCTCTCTCCCTCCCTCTCTCTTTATTTACCTCATAACATACAATCCATCTTTGTTTTTTTTCTGTTTTTTTCCTTTGCTCCCATCATCATCATTGTCGTCATCTCCACCACCCCTACTATTTTCTTTATATCGATTAGATTTTTTTCTCTCCCTCCACCTTGTAATCAGTTTGCTCTACATCTCACCATCATTTCCACCACTCCGACCACCACCATCACCACAACGTTCACCGTCAATATTTTATCCTGTATTTGCTATTACTACTACTCCCCATCCGGCTCAGCATGCATGCCTTTATTCTCTCCACTATCACGTCAGTGATAACAACAAGAACAACGAGAACGACGACGACGAGAAGGTGGTGGTGGGGAGCGAGGAGGAAAACAACACGCTTCTAATTGCGTCTCTACCCCCCCCCTAACATTTCACTTTATAACCCATTGCCACCACTCCACACCCACCCATCACTACCCACATCACCTTGGGTTATACATAGCTTGCAGTTTGGGTCGGTAACTGGAGCAAAAAATATAGTAGTAGTAGTAGTAAAGGGTGGCGGGATGTGATGCGATAGTAGTAGTAGTAGTTCGTTTTCTCCTCTCTTTTCTTTTTCTTTTTATTGTATTTCATGACCTAGTTGGGATGGCAATAATGACTGATGTGATGTAGAGAGAAAAGTAGGAGGGTGGGGAATGGTCGTGGTGATAGTGGGAGTCGTAGTAGTGGGAAAATAATAGCCATCATTTAGTCGGCTTGTTTCACTTTTTATATATACATATACATATATATGTATATGCTGCTTGATCAGCTGTCCTGATATACTGAGAATTAGTGTGTAAGGATGCGGATGTTGTTGTTGCTGTTGTTTTTTTCCAGCAGTAATAATTGTAGTAGGTTGTTATTTCTAATGTTCTGTATGTATAATCTGTAGGATAATTAGACTCCACTTTCTCTGGAAATACTTTTTTCCCGCATAGAGGTAGTCATTATTACATAGAATACAAGCAAACTGATACAACCACTAGTACTCGTACTACTTATACTACTACTGTGTTAATTATATTGGGAAAATCCTAAGATTTCTCTGTGTTTCCAGTTTGGTCACGGATTGATATGGGTTAGAAAACCAAATTAGGACGAGACAGCTGTCCAGTACTCCAATACCAGTTTTCAATGGTCCTCCCCTTGATATAAATCCGTGATCAAACTTGAAACAAATCAAATCCCCGCAAAAAACTCTTGAAAATTAATCTAATACTCACTAGTGACTAGTGGGGCTAAGAACTCATCGGCGATGAAATTGGCTGATGATCGTGCTAAAATCATGAATTGGTAGAAGTTTGAATTGATGATGGGCTATTGGATAGGGTCCCAGTAGAGCTGAGAATAGTCCTGGCTTCTAATCCCGGTGAGTGAGTGCGTACTGATGAAGAGTCCTAGACTAGGATGAAACAGCTTTCCAGTTCTCCTTGGTTTTCAATGGTTCTGTGAATAATGATATCAATCCGTAAGCAAACATGAAACAAATCAAATCCCTACAAACAAATTCATGAAGAAGACTCCCCTGTCTGCCATTTCCCCCCTTTTTTTGGCTTCAGTTACGAAGGTATTTGCCTACCATATATTCGTGTGTCATGAGAGCTATGCCCGGTCTGGATTATATGTTATGACAACTGTGTACTACTACTATTACTACTTCAGAGATCTTCCTTCTTCACTGTAAATAGATAAGTATTTTGAAAATAACAAAGCGGATAGTTCAATAAAGAGGCTGTTTTCAGTCAATTTATTCTCCTCTTTAGCTCCTCTATGCTCGCATTTACATCTGAACAATATTTTCCATAAAATTGGGGTAGTAACAAAAATGATGAGTTGTCATAGTTATAGTTGTTAATATTAGTCAATACATAAGAGGAGTTGAATATGGGCACTAGAATTACGTAATGAGATAGATAATCTAATATAAACGAGCTGTATTCAGAATGCTAATAGAAACGATGGAAACAAACGAAAATCAAGTTGCTAGGATACAATAAAGTTGTTACTATGATCGTAGTAGAAGTGGTTGAATAAGCTTTCCTATCAGAATTGCTAGAACTTAAGCAATGAAGAGGATGCGAGAAGCTTATATTGTCTTTGGCAGGTCGTAAGTGTGTGTGCTATTATACAGCTAAAGAAAATCAATTTTCCCGAATAGAGCCTATTTGCTGAACTATTCAGTTTGTCCTTTTCACTAATGCCTAGATGAGGAGTATTCATGAATAGATGTTTTATATTATTGGGAGAAGTTTTGAAAGCTGGTAGGTGTAAGACGCACTGCTCAAATTACTTATTACCTTGTAGTGACAGTGACAGTAGTGCAATTCAGTGACTGTAAGCCATTAGTGATAGTATTTGATCATACAAAGTGGAGGTCCATCGAGAGGAAAGATTACAATCCTACGAATGTAGTTAGTTCATAAAATAAAGAGACAATACAATATCACATTCTATCTCCCGTGTTAATTAGTATAAGCAAGGTGAGTAATATTGAAGTTAGACAGGCGTAAGAAGTGCAAATGGAACCATACAGCTTTACAGTCTCATCAATTGAGACATGCTGAGTCATCGCCTTCCTTATCGAGTTATAACTAGATGGTCAAACCAAAACTTCTCATCAATCCAAGTCTTCCATGGTTTTAACTAAATCTGAAAGTGTAGGCTACCTGATCGAGGACCTCGGGGTGCTAAGATCCATTGTCTTGAAATTGTTGTTGACATCACTCAAGATCGTTATCAATAGTAATAATTTATTTTCGTATATATCAGAGGGGGGAGTACAGTGAAAGTACTTGGTGCATGACATTTTATATGGATGTTATTCCATAGACTTATTCGTTTTACTTTATTAGGGTGAAAGGTCTTTATTCTTTGATTGTGTATATGCTGATGTAGTAAATGACACACCATGACAAAATGAACGTGTGTATTTATATAAAACTGTCGGGTAAATTGTAAGTATTTGTTTATTCACCCGTCTATTTACAGACCTAATGTGTAACTGTAACTTTTTTTTCAGGAGAATTATCGGTGCCTAGTCCATTGTCATCATCATCTGTTAGTGGAGTAAATCTACCCGGAGTTAGTGCTGTTTCTCTTTCTCCACCTCATCTTACATCAGATGTTCCAACAACAACAACGACAAATCCTGATGGTTATTCAACACCATCTAGTCAGCAAAACTCCTTGTCTACGGCATCAGCAACAACAACCTCATCTGTAAGTTGTTAAATAACAGTAATACATTTTTATTTTCACTATTATTCTTTTTCTCGTACACTGCCATTCATCTTTGACCACAGACATTTGCATTCGATCTGTCGTTTTTTATTCCTTCACGTTCCTACTGGGACATAGGGCTTCAAGCTAGAGGCTTGAAGTTTCTGTAGCAGCGGTGATTATTTTTACAGGATTGGGTTGCTAGCCTCAAGCCCAAACTTCCCTCTTTACCAGTTTTATTTCTGGCTTAGCGAGGTAAAGGAGTGCGGTGTCGGCCAGGGATCGAACCCTGGACCATGTGCACGGTTGGGGAGCGTCTTAACCTCTATGTCGTTTTAAATGCCATAATGTGGTGAGTAATATTAAGCTTAAGCATAGTGTTAGGTAAGGAAGACAGGTCACTTTGATGATGAGGCTGAGATAGATGGCTAAAACACTTGATGTATGTGCATGCCTACTCACCGCCTTCATTATTGACCGATTCCATATTGGTTTGTTTATTAAATGTATTATCCACTACCCTTACGACAAATAGGAAAAAATAAAGAAAATTATAAAAACTCAAGTTTCAAAGTAGTGTGATTACAATTGATATTATTATGAACAATAAATTTTGTTCGAAACGTCATCCAGTAAATAATTCTGTTTCATTGTGTGATACATCTAATAAGCAAACTAATATGGAATTACTTACTAACACCACAGTGCCCAAGTTTTACACATATATTAATATGACTTATTGACCAATGTTAGCTGATAAAGGGTTCCATTGGAAATGGGTTATGGGGGTAGTCATACCAAAACTCAGCATCAGTCCATGAAATATTCGGCGGTTGTTGGAGTTGGTCCTTTGTATGCTAAGAACCAATGACTTGCTGATATTGCTCAGAATTTTTTTCACTAACCAATGTATTCACTTCTTGTGATTTTCTAAATTTGTCACTGTATGCTGTGTGGCAATTTGATATAAGAATAGAACTTAAGCACTGTGGTAGGGTATAACTCCATTATAGAGTAAATTTATTTGGTGTTGTCACACAGTGATACAGTATTATTTTCTGTCAGTACTTTCTCTCTCTGGGATTTTATCAAATAAATTTACTCTATGTTGTGGCCTATTGGACTGCTGCACTTCTGAGCGAAGTTCCACGTTGAAACTAAATCTGTCCGTCCGTCTATCACTACATCGGAAAATGCATTTGCCTGATTTGTCGTATTGTAGAGAAATAATGTTGAAATCTATAAAAGATAATAATGAAAAGAGTAGGTATAACTGCACCAGTGGGATTTTTTATACGTCACAGTGAATATCCAACTATCTCTGAGCTTTTTTTATTACGTGGGGGATTTCACCATGATCTGACATCAGTTAGAGAACCACTGGAAAACCTTGGAGTGCTGGACAGCTGTTTCGTCCTAGTTTGGGGCTCTTCACGAGTGCTCACCCACCGGGGTTCGAAACCAGGACCTTCTGGTTACAAGGCTAGCGAGCTCGTAGACCATTGAGCCACTGGGACCCGATCCAATGGTCCTTGAATCCTAACTTCTGCCAATTCACGACATAGCGCGACCACTTCGCAATGTCTTCTTCGATGAGTTACTACCTCATCTTCAACCTGCTGTACCTTACAGGTCACGGCTTCCCACTAGAACCCCAGGTTTAACAGTCTGAATAGGGTTAGTCACTAGTGTGCATCAGATTTTCTATTATTTTATTTATTTATTACTTGAATGCTTCAAATGTGAGCCTTACTATACACTTTATTTATCTTAGAAATGCAACCAATGGCATTATAATGTTGTTGTGCCACATTTTTGTAGGATGACCACTTTTTCTGTCAACTCTTCCCCAGCTTAATCTTGCTTCAATTGTCTTTTTATGAGTCATATGTGTTAATCGCGACAGTTAGATAGATAGATAGATAGTTTGATAGACAGCTAATCGATATTATGTGACCTTTTTTGCCGCGATTATTGGTTAATTTAATGTAACTCACACCACCGATGTGACCTTGAGTGTTCTTTATTTCCTGTCACTCTATTGTGTCTATATGTAATTAACTGTTCATTTTGTCCCTTCCTGCAATACAGTTCGGTACGTTTTTGTCTTTTCTTGAGTGACAATGGATTTTGTGCTTTTCTTGGTGTAATTGTATGCTCTATTTTATGTTTTAGAAACACATAAAGTTTAAGTCAAGTCACTCTGTTTTTAACTATAGTTAGGCCAAGACTCAGTATCGTCAGTACTGTGGAAGGACTAAATCTGTAGGGAAAATTAATCCTACAAAGTTTCGAACAGTATGGCAGACGAAAAATATGAGACTATGCCGACGTTAACTCCACAGTCAGGAAAGAGTAATGGAACTGATTTCCTCGGAAGTAACGAGTATAAATCAAACTATATGGTAGAGTAGGAGCTAGCGAAAATGCGTATAGTCCAATTAGAGAAGGAAATTGAATTGGAAAAATTACGACAAGCTAGTTGTGAATGGTCTGCTCATAATTAGTCGTCCTACAAGCCTTCTACTTCTCATACAGTCGCTGTATCTCCTAACGATGAGTTCGCCGGAGCCACGTCCAAGTTTCTGGACATGCCTAAAAGAGAGATTATTAAGTTTGACGATAATCGTGTAAATTATTGGAATTTTATACAGAATTTTGAAGACTTGGTGGATAATGATGCTATTGGATACCGAACTAAGCTAAACTACTTAATTCAGTATTGTGAGGGAGAAGCTAAGAATGTAATCAAACACTGTGTTTTGTTAGAGCCAGAGGAAGGTTATTACAAAGCCTTAGAACTGTTAGAAGAAGCATTTGGGCAAAAGCATGTTGTGGCCTGGACCTTCGTAGGGAAACTCCTGGAATTTCCGAATGTTAAAAGCAACGATGCAGCATTATTAAGAAAGTTATCTAACGAGATGCAAGCCTGCGAACTAACATTAAAGCAGATGAACTATGTATCTAACTTGAATTCTGGTAGAACTATTAAATAACTAGTTTTAAAACTCCCTGTTCATTCACAGAGAGAATGGATGAGAGTCTCTTGAAACGTTATAAAGACCGGTCCCGAACCATCATTTAGCGACTTATGCTTGTTTGTTAAGGAGCAGTTAGATATGGCTAACACCAGGTTATGGGCTGCTAATCAATGGTCATTCTACAGGAAAATATAGCAAAGAGATTAGCACCCCTACGAAGAAACACTCCGATTCTAAACATCGAGTATTTGTTGCCCGGCTCTCAGAGAGCAATGTCGAAAAACCGAATAATGATCCCAAGAATGAGTCACGTTTATTTATCCCACCTTGTATTTTATGTTCGGGAAGCCATTTCTTAGACCAGTGTTTGGAGTTTAAAGATAAAGACCTTGTTGAACGTCTGGCATTTGTTTCTAAGAGAAAACTATGCAACGTCTGTTTAAAGGCAAATCATATAGCAAAGAATTTTCGTTCTCCGAGGTCCTGTACAGTTGAAGGTTGTGGTTGGAGACACCATACATTGCTCCACAGAAGACAGGGATTATCCGACGATATAAAAAATGATGTGCATATCAACGCTCAACAGCGCAGTGATTTGACTGTGCACAAGACTTCAGCGAGTGAGATAGAATTCGCCATAGTGCTCGTTTTAGCCAGGTATAATGGCAATGTTGTTCAAACCTGTGCGTTTTTGGATAGCGGTTCTCAAGCAACACTGGTCACAGATGATCTAGTAAGAGAATTAGGTTTAGCAGGAGCAACTAAGACAGTTTCCCTTAAGACGCTCGGTTCACAGTCCACTTTGTCTTTCAAACAGGTGCAACTAGAAGTCTCTTAGTTGGATTCGTCCCTTCATCTGTTTCCAAAGCATGGACAGTACAGAAGTTGGCACAGTTGCAAAGGGTTGTACCAACAACAGATCAGATGGCCTCGTGGAATCACCTAGGCGGAATAGTTTTACCAGAGGTTAAGAATGAAAAAATTAAGATGCTCATTGGCTGCAACGTACTAGAAGCTCATGTAACGATCGATAAAAGGCTTGGTGGAGCCAACGTACCTTGTGCCGTAAAGACTGCCTTGGGATAGACACTACTGGGACCATACAGGAAGACTTTTAGAGAAACTAGCATGGGCAATCATATCTTAGCTACCTAAAAAACTGAGGCCATATTTGAACGGTTCCACAAGAATGAGTTTGACGATGTGAGTGGTCAAATGCCCAGGTCTATTGAAGATCGTAAAGCTCTGAGTATTATGTCAGAGTCCCAGACGGTTAGTTGACAGATATTATCAAATAGCACTTCCATGGCGTCGACAACAAATTTTACCTAATAATATAAAACTGGCGATGAATAGACTCAATTCGTTGAGGAAACGCCTCTGTCAAGACTCAGACCTGTACAAAGAGTATACTAATGTCATGTCTCAGTATATTGAAAGAGGTTTCGCTAAAATGGTTGAAGAAGATCACGTTAATGGACAGGTTTGGCACTTGCCACACCGTCACGGTTTTACTCTTGTGATTTATTGCATGATTTACCTCTATCACCTTCAGTCCATCTCCCGGCCAGCAGCACGTTAATTCATTTCTGTTAGTTTATTGAGAACATCAGAGCAACCTGTTCTTTCCCGTATTATTGACTTCTACGTAGATGTCCCATCTCCTGTTCACTGTCTCATTATCGTCAGTACTGAGGAAGGACTAAATCTAGGCAAAATTAATCCTACAATATGTACACATTCAAGTCTCTTCCGATAGATAGATATCTTACTTAGAGACATGAGAACAACTTGAGCAGCAATCTTTGAATGTTTGACATGCGATTCGCTCCTGCTGTCAATTGTAAGATGATGCTACAGGATTGTGCTATATCTATTCACTCCTAGCTTAAAGATAGGGAGTGAATTGGTAGAGCATGTTGATTAGTTCACTTGTTTGGGAAGTTACATCAGTCAGCTCCAGCGGATTCATCACTGACGAATTCTCAGCACGTATACAGAAGGCTCGTTCGGCGTACATGAACCTACTCAGTCTTTGGTGTAGACGTGATATTCGGCTATCGACCAAAGGGTGTGTGTACTACTCAGCAGTCCGCTCCGTCCTACCTTATGGCTTTAAGACATGGTCACTAAAAGTGGAAGACATGAAAAGCCTGGCTAGCTGTCTTTCACCATAGGTGTCAGTGTTCTGTCTCCTGTGTTCGGTGGTAGGTGTAATAGAGTGAGTAATATTGAGCTCAGGCGTCAAGTGGTAGGCTAGGTAAGGAGGAGAGGTTGTGAAGTTACATCAATTGAGATGGTTACGGCATGTTATACATGCATCCCTAGACATCGCCTCCCTCCACAGACATGCTATCTGACTGATGTAGGATTGATGAGGTTGAAAAAGAGAGAGCTGGTTGTAGTGGTCAAACGAGAACATGGCTTCATCACTCAGTGAAATCCAAAACGATTAGATTAAACCAGTCATGTAGTGACGTGTAGACTGACTAAGTGTTTGGAGTGTTCGAGATGGTAAGAACCAATGAAGACTGGAGACAATTGGTGATGTGGCTGAAAATCTTTGTCAATGGCTGCCGCAGATGCAGTCACTCTATTGTCCCTCCATATAACTATTCTTTTTGCCTGACATTTCTGTCAATTATCTCTCTTTTAATGAATCTATCTTCTCTTGCTTTGTTGTGGTACATGGAGGGTGAGTGACAATCGGAACTGGTTCACATCTGTGCGAAGTTCTAAGTTGAAACCAGTCAGTCAGTTATCTTACTTTTACTCAACATATAAGCATCAGTATGTCTTCTTTTTCGGCTTATACTGGACGCTGATTAATGTCACGAGTAAACTGATGTTTATATGATTAGATAACTCTCATCTTTTCATTTCTACGACACTTGTGTCCATGGAAATCACAATCATTGTTTAAACAACCCATATGTATTTATACGTGCAATCTTTATTTTTTTTGGTGATGCTGATTCAAACTGTTTTATTATGCTGTATGGATTCGAGTTTCTGGACTGTGTTTCAACGTAGAACTTTTCAGAGATGTACTCAGTTGTAAGATACGAAAGACCACTACTAGATAGACTGAGTTGTTTGTTTAACCTACCCTATAAGATTGTGAATATCTTTGACAATTAAGTACCATTATATCTTTCTTCTTCGGTAGTTTGACTTTAAAAGCTAGATAGTTGTTAGAACCTCATTGGAATTCTATATTTTAGGATTTCGTCACGAATTGATGTCAGTTTAGGCAATCAGTGAAAACCAAGGTGTACTGGATAGGATAGCTGTTTCGGGACTGTTTTGGTGCATTAGGCACTCATAACGTCCACCATGTCAGGATGGTGGGGATAGTTAGTCGGATGGTATTAGTTTTCAGTGGTACTGTGGTGTGATAGCAGGCTGCTAGCCAGATTAGTAGACAGTAATTTACGTCAGTGTTTACGTCCTCAATATTGGTCGTGAGAAAAAAAAGAACAAAGACTGATTCAACAACCAACCATAGGAGACTTTGCGTAGGCGGATACAGATAGCATATAGATGATCTGAGACATTCAAGAAACAGTCACAAAAAGATGAAAGAATAACTTTCAGTGAGAAACAACCAGTCAGAAGATGACTGTGTTTTTCTGCTAACAGTAATAATCTATGATAATGTAGATGAAAATCTATAAATATGTGTTGATTTCCTTAATAAACGATCTGTTGCCTGGTCCTTGTCTTCTCTTGTTACAGTGCCATATCACAAATTGACAGGAATTGAGATTTGTGGATCACTGAATTCCAACCGAATGACTGGTTTTGTAACCTCTTGAACCTTCTGGGTTTGATCCCTGATGGAGTAGTCATAGGTGGTATATCTGTTGAATGCTGCTGTGAAACCCAAAATTTAGATGAAATAATAATTAGTGATAAAAACTATGATTATTTCTCATAACTTGATCAGATATTTAAATTATTCAGTTTAGGCGTACATGCGGTAGCAGTACATATCATTTATAAAATCCGTCTGTTTGAGTAAGTTTAGGCGATTAGTACCTGAGACTTGAAGATCATTCACCTCTTGCTGTGTTCTTTCACTAGTTAAAAGAAAATCAGAATTACATCGTTTTTTCCATTGATAACCTTTTTTATTGTTCAAACAAACAAAGATTGAATTAATGAATTATATTACTTGAAAAAAACTCTTTGTTAGTAGTTTATATAACCGAGTTTATTGATCTCCTTGTTTTGTGTATTCCATTTTTTACTAGATGATGTTTGATGCGACATTTGGAAATTCTGCTATGAGTGGAGTATCGAATCTTGGAAGACCGTAAGTATTATCTTTATTATTAACGTTATGTGTTTGCTCTACATCTTATCCGTTTTTGTGACGGTGTGTTATTTTTTGGGTTGTACGTTCGTCTAACGTGACAAGAATGCGCCACTAGAGACACATTACTCTTCATATACGACCGAAACGACATCAGCAACAACAACAACAACATGAGATGTATACAAATCCTCAGCAAATTAAGTCGTAAATAAACGTGTCAAACAAAAAACTGTCCAATTCGGTCATCATGTCACTCACTACACATGGATAAATCACGAGTTCAAGGCGAACAAAGAAGTTTCTCTGTTGTTGTTGTTGTTGCTGTGCCTTTAAGTTCCTTCTTTTCATTCTTTTTTCCTCAATAAAAAGGCTGATTTCATGATCAACGACGACTGTTTACCGTTATAATATTTATTCGAATCATTTGCTGTTTGGACTAAAATGTGTCTTCTTCTTTGTTCCTATCTCTCATGTCGTCTATGATGACTAAAGTTTCTACACAATCTCACCACCAGATGAGGCCAAGACTAAAATTCTATTCAATTTGCTCTTGTATACTGTGTGGCGTTGTTTACGTTCTTCGCATTAATTCACATCTCGCCTTATTACTAGTCTATGCTTTGCATATATCCTTATATGTATATGTGTTGACTGAGTGCATTTCTCTTCCTCTCCCCCTCCTCTCCCTCTCTCTCTCTCTTATACTCTATAGAGAGAGAGAGAGAAGAGAATTGTTTGTTCCCCCCCCATCAAAAGAGAGAAATATCTCTTTCCTATTTTTGTCTTTTTTATTAGGATTCTCTCTTTTTTCATTTTATTTCATTTCATTTTTCTCTTGTATTTCTTATCACATTGTTTATTTGCATTCATTTCTAGTTGCCCCACCATCTCCTCTACTTTTTGTTTATCTCTGCTCCTTTTGTCTATATTCCTTGTTTTTCCCCATCATATATATATATATATATATAATACTAGTGTCATCATTTAAATGAAAATGTGTTCTTTCCTATCCATTCCGTCCCTCCCTCCCTCTCTCTCTCCCTTTTCCTCTGTATTTGTACCTGCTAGTGTTTCTTTTTCTCTCATTCAGTTTGTTTCGATTAAAACAAAAAAGAGAAAATATAATGGTCTTCGTCTTCTATTTCTTCTTTTTCTATTTCCCTCACCCTTTGTGTTTCCCATTTTTTTTGACTCTACTCTCCATTTTCACCCTAGTAGCTATTTGTGTCTTCGTGTCTTAACAACACAACAATTCACCTTCATGGTGTAGTGAATCTTCTTCTTTCTAAGTAATCACCTCCTCCTGATTTACCTACCCCCTCCCCTCAACTGCCTTTCCTCTTCTAACACTGTCACCACCATCACCACGTTTACTTACAATCATCATCATCTTTAAAAAAGTCTTAATTATAATTATACAATACCGATTTTGTTTTTCCTGAATTTTGTGTATGCATGTGTGTATGTGTGTTGGTTCAATACATTCACTGTCTTCAGGCTTTTTGGATTTCTATTTATTTGTTTTTTTTTCGTTAACGTTCCCTCCACCCCACCCCTCCCGCCGCATCCGCCACCATCACCAACTCTGTCTCTTTTTCAGTGTGCAACATTTATCCCCCAACCCTTATATGTATACTCAATCAAGAAAGGCACACATGCTTCCTATTATCTGTCTATCTATCTACATACCTAGCTAGGTAGATGAGTAAGTAATCATTTTCGTCCAACCTTGGAATCAATCAACTAAGCTGTCATCATCACTTACGTGTAGGTGTGTGCGTGCGTGGGTGTAGTCCACCACCACCACTGTCATCTCAACCTCGTATGGTAGTGTTGTATGCGTGTGTTTGTTCGAATTCTCCTCTGTGTTTACTTGTCGTGTTCTCATCACTTCAACTATTGTTAGGCTTCCTGTTCGCTTCAAATACTTATATAATAATATATATATATATATATATATATATATATATATGCTCGAAGGAAGTAGGCAACGGAAATAAATTTCATTATCTCATCCCCACCCCGTGTCAGACACGCTGCTTCAACTGCCGCCCCACGCCCCTGCCACACTTTCCCAACACTTATATACGTTAACAGTGTCAACAGAAGAGCAATAATACAGTATTTTGTTGTTGTTGTTGGTTGTTTGGTTAGTTTACATCACGACATTCATCCCCCCTCCACCTTGAAGGAAAAAAAAGTCTGTTTTGTAGACGTTTCACTTATTCACTCATTCATTCATTCATTACCTGCCTGTCTGCCTCCCCTCCCCCTCCCCCTCCCCCATTATTCTTTAATTTATCATCATAGCCTAAAAGGAGTTTGGAAATTGTCTCTCTTATTTCCTATATGTCAATACAGCTGCAGTTCTTGTTTTTGATTGTATGTGTGCGTGAGTGCTTTTCTTCACGTCTCTCTTGTATGTTTATTTTGCATGCTGTATGCATACATGTGTGTGTTTGTGAGCGTGCTTGTGTCTGGTGATGGTGGTGGTGGGTGGCTTAATTTTTTTCTTTTTTTTCTCTCCTTCATTTTCCTCTTCCTTTGTATCAACTAAATTGTATATTCATTATTTATTTTTTTCTATTTTTCTATATGTGTATGTATGTCTGTATGTGTGTTGTTTGTTTGTTGGTATGTGTATTGGTGTAATTTGATAGAACACGTTAGCCTATATATGTGTATACTTTCACATCTGTCTGTTAATTTACTTATTTATTATTCGTTCTTATATATATATATATATATATATATATATATATATATATATATATGGGGGTAGGTTTGTTTCATTTCATGAAGAACAGAACTAATCCGATTATATACTACGTAGTATTTTCATGGCTCTTAGTAATTACTATATTAGAAGTAGTAGTAAGTAGCAGTGGTAGAGTCGTAGCAATGTAATGTAACAGTGGAAGACAAGACAGTTAATAAAAAAGAATATGGAATGCATAAACCAAACCTATGCCTAATAACATACTTCCAATTCGACGGCCAAATATATATAAGCAAGTCAAAGGAACACCCATTTATTCTTCTTATTATTATATCCTTTAATTCCTAGAGGAACATAGGGCTTCAGCTGCGCGTCTCCATTGCCTTGGGTTTTCTGCCAACTTTTCCACCCCGCTCCAAGTCTGCTCACATGCTTTCATCTCCTCTTCACATGACCTCCTCCAAGTCACCCCACCCTTGCACTGACGACCAACTCGCCGCTTCCCTTTCGTCCTGGTTCCACTCGAGCAATGGCTTGTCTAGTGATGTCACTTGATGGTTTGTTTTCTCAGAGTATGACCAATCCACCTCCATTTCTTCCAGCATATTTCTTACACAATCGCTTCCTGGTTGGTTCGCTCATAGCCAAAGATCCCTGTTGCTGATTTTTTCTGGTCGGGCATCTGATCTTGAGTATTGAGCGAAGACAACTGTTGATGAAGGTCTGTATTTTGTTTGAGATGTTGTTTATGACTCGCCAAGTCTCTGATCCGTATAGTGAGTAGCACTGACTTCACATTGGAGTTGAAAATCCGGATCTTATTTTCATTGTTATGCTGAGTGCTGTTGACCTCCACACAGTCTTAAGAGTAATGAAAGCTTGCCTTGCTTTTCCGATTCTTGCTTTGATATCTTCGTCAGTTCCGTCCGCCTGTAGTTGAAACGATGCTTTCCAGGTAGGTGGGTAGGTGAAGGAGGTTGTCTCGTTCAGGTTCCCATGGGATCGCCAATATCAGGTTTGATTGCAGAAGCAGTGATGCAAACGCTCGAAAACATAATTCTACCAAACAAAGATCAAACTCAAGATTTGGATACCTTATGTAGACGACACATTCGCAATAATCAAAATAAAACGAGTTAGATAAAACTCACAACTTAATAAACAACGTCTTCAACGACATCAAATTCACAAGAGAAGAGAAATCCGAGAACAAAATCCCATTTTTGGACGTCTTGGTCAATCGGATAACCACAGGGGGGAATTAGAAATCCAAGTTTATAGAAAATCAACTCATACAGACCAAATCCTGAATTGCGACAGCAACAATCCAATAACACACAAAAGGAATTGCATACAAACACTATTCAAGAGGCTAGCCAGGACTCATTGTAGCACTCCCACATTAAGGATAATTGAAGAAAAATATCTCATGAACGTCTTCCAAAAGGATGGATATCTACGGAATTTCATCAAAAGACATATACCTCCAAGCCAACCTATCAAACGAAAAGCCCCAACCAAGGGAAGCACAAAGAAAATCGCCTTACCATATATAAAGGATATCTCAGAAATCACTACAAAACTCTTCGAACCTCTGGGAATTGACGTCGTACACAAACCAACAAAGTCACTTCACTCAGTTCTATGTCAGCCAAAAGACTCAACAGCGAAAAAAGATAAAACCCACATCATCTACAAAATAAATTGTAACAACTGCGAAAAAGACTACATTGGCCAAAGTGGACATCCCCTTCGTCTTCGTATCCACAAACATAAGCTAACCGTCAAAAGATATGACATCTACTCCATCACTGATATCACTACATACAGACAACCACGGACATCAATTCGACTGGGACAACCAACGTTCAAATATTAGACAGAGGAAACAACAAGAATGCTAGAGAATTTTTAGAAGTCTGGCTGGTATTCCAGTGAGTCATCAATCAATAGACACATCGAGATAGGTAAAATTTATCAACCGATAAGAAAGAAACCTCACACACACACACACGAAGGGTCAAAGTTCAAGTCAAAGAAACAATCCGTTCCAATACAAGTAGCTGCCTAGAAGGTGTGAAAACACACAAAAACAACCAATCACGTCCAAGGTCAGGTGACCAGGAGAGATGATTAATAAGCTCGTGGAGAAATCTAAAAGCTCACTTTAACAGATTGAATTATGCGCTGAAGATATCGCCTAGTAGGGCGATGAAAGCTTCGCAAATTAAGTATCCCGCTCAGAGAAAACAATCACATAAAAATCATCCACCTGAGC